AGCTTTCACTTGAATGTCGAACGTAATTCGCAATTCAGTACTTTGGTTTTGCCATAGTTAACTATGGTTTTGTATTACCACGCTACGCTATAGGCTTAAAAACTCTGTCATTTAATCAGAACTAAAATCGAAACCAAATAGGCTTGACTATCTCGCACACGTTTTCCCGCCCATTGCGTCGTTTACGCGTATTTGTGTCAGAGTTTTGATTGGTTCAGTGGATTGTCAGTGTCTGAATTTTTGCGATTGGTCATTGGCCCTGGTTTTAACATCGCTGATTTGCGAGCATACTAAAAACTGCATAATTTCACAAGCTACAGTGTCCAAAAAACAGTCCGTTCGTCAGATTGGGATCTCACCTCTCAACTCTAGTTAATGCCTGCACAAAGATACCAATAAGCTGTTAATCATGATCATAACCCGTCCCTTCTCATTCCATCTAATTTCGTCCAATCCAATAAAATACGACTCAGTTTATCGCAAACATAAAATTTAAGTGTGTTTAAAATGTCATGTTTGTCGTTGCAGAAGAAGGAAGTACCGATGCCACCAAGAGAGGCGTAATTTCCTTTGGGGACCTGATTTACCGCGCTACCGGCAGGAGTCCTATTGATTACAATGGTTATGGCTGCTACTGTGGACTGGGTGGGAAAGGCAGGCCTGTCGATAAACTGGACCGGTAAATATGTCTTTCAGTTATGATGAAATGTCCAGTTTCTTCAGTGTGAAATTCTGTTTCGGAAAAAAACATGTCGATGGTCAAAACATTTTGAAAAACACAATAAGTAGGGCGAAAATTGCAAAATATATCGAAGGTAATTAAAATATAGGCCGAGATTGGCAGAATATCTGTTGAATAATGATATAATACCGGGCAGATGTCGCGGCAAAAAATATGAACCATGGGGCGCGATCCATTCAACCAAAATTTCCGGGGTGACGTTGGAAAATTTCTTGGTGTCGAATGGTTCAGTCGTAACGGGTCCGGACGGTCTCGTTTCATTCCACTCGCAAAACGAGTTTCGCGCTCAGTTAAAATAGAGGGTGTTGGATCATTGTTGCTCGTATTACAGCTAGATGACGATTTCGACGGTGATATCAATGATATTGTGTGAACTGTTTCATGTGTAGTGATTTAACC